TGTGGTCGTCAAAGTCCCACCAAATCGTCTTGATAATTTTTGCGGTAAATGCTTGTGCATAGCTCAAAAAACGACGAGCGAATGGAACGGTCTTCCCGAAAGAGAAATGAATCTTTGCTTTCAGTAGTGCAGGTTGCTCGCCGCCTACTTTCTCAGCTTTTTATTTTTTTGTTATTTTTGTTTTTGTTGATTTTTGATCATCGCTGTAAATATTCCACTCAGGCATACACTTTTTTGCTTTTGGTAAGTTCTTAAAGCAAATTGCTTTTTACTTTTATTTTTCCTTCAGCATTACATGCTTTTGCAACTTGTTTGTGAGTGTTTTCAGCAGGTGTCCGGGGAGAAAGTGATAATAAAAAAACCGAAAAATAAACATGAACTGGGGGAAAACTTTGATAATAAAAAAATCATTTTAATGTTTTTGGAAAGTTTTAAAAAAAAATGTTATAAAGCTCGGTATCATCAGCAAACGATTTTTCGGCCCAAAAAACTGATTTTGCTCTCCCAGTTTAGTTTTTATAGCACAAAAAAGCAGTAGTAACATCGAAAGGACAGCACAAATCATCAATCATCTTCGGGGGAAATTTCAGCCTTCCACTTTCCCTGGTTCCCAAGTTAGCGATTTTCGCATCAGGAAGCTTTATAGGGTTGTACGCGGGAACCTTGCACACCCGGGGGCTGAATTTGAAATTTTTTAGTTCAGGGGGAAGGCACGGTCCAATGCTTTTTGCTGGGTAGAGTTCGTGTATATGTTACAGGTCAGTGGGCGAAAACGCAACTTCGTCCATCCGCAGATATTACAAATAAATATTTTAAGAATCATGTACAAGAATTTCATTTAAGTAATAGAATAAAATAAAAAGTAAAACATTGAAGAATTTACGAATGCATCTCTAGTAACACCATTGAACAGGAGAATTCCCCATACCGATCGTTCGGAATGTCCAAGTATTTGTGGTATCTCTTTTTTACTTCACACTGCTGCCGAAAACACTCATTTTTTTGTTTTTTCTACAAATTTTCTCATTTGTAAATTTCCATGTAATAAGACTGATGTTGCATAGCACTGTTGTGGTGACTTTTCGTTTTCGTCTTTTTGATTTTTAGCGCTGTTTTACATTTGCTGAAATTTCAGGATCCGCATATGCTTGATTTATTTTATGCCAGAAAAAAGGACAGATTAATCGGAGAAGGGGGGGGGGGGTTGATAAAAATTTTTGCTAGTTCATAGATGAATCATGGATTTCTGAATCAGATTATCCGAGAAATATTCGTATTCTGAAAGACCGGTGAATTTTACAGAAATTTAGGTCATTTTACTCACCACAAAATCCTAAAAAATGAGTTTCTGGATTCAAATTATCCATCAGTTCTGTTTATTTTAATACAGCTCATCTCTAAGCACCAATATGCTCACATCCTTTAGCTGTTTTTTTTTCAGTTTTTTTTAATGAGAATTTCAGTCTGCTTTTTATTCTTATGCATTACGAAGTAACATCAATTTCAG